GTCAGCAGTAGCTAAACCCTTAGCTAAACATTCCTGTGTCATCAACAGTGTTTTCAGCACAAAGCTGAAATACAGCCCCATGCAAGCTACTGTGAAGAAATTTAACTCTATCTCAGCCAAAATCAGTAAAGTGTCAAGCCCACTGCATCCTTATTACAATATACTGAAGTACACCAATGAAAACATGAACTGTTTCTTTCCTTATTTCAGTTTTTCATCTGTAAAGTGAAAACCATAGCATTTCAGTACTCCTTAGTGAGCCTTCCATTGGAATATTACATTTTGCAAGGTGTGTAGCTCCTCTAATGCAGTGATTTGTCTACACACATTGTTCGGTTTTAAAGCATTGATCTGAAGGTGATTGCTTTGAAACGATGTTCAGAAAATCCTTCAAATACACTGTGAAGAGGATTCCCACCCAGTTGTTACGATTTTTTATAGCCACTAATAATGATGCAGTGAGATAACCTGAAACAAATAATCAATTATCTATTCAACATGGGTACAAAGTGTTCTTAGGGAAGTAGAGAACACAGACAAGTATTAGACAAACACAAACCTTCTGAGAGTGCACGTACTCTCTTGTATCTAAAGGTTTATTTCTGGAAGCTTTCTTAATGAAGATTTCTAAATTCAAGCCTTTAGAGTATTGTAAATAAATCACCTCCCAGAAGTAACGTACATAAGACTAGGAGTGCAATCTTTGCTCTTGAGAACCTTACCATCCCCCTTCATCTTACCCTCTGCCTCTGGGAGCTGATGAGAGTGTAAGCAAAAGTCAGATAGTCTGGCTGGAGAAGGCATTGATCTACATGAGTCACAAGATTTGAGCATCTTTTCTACCAAGAAGAGAAGCAACTATTTCATGTAGATTCATTTAAAACCACCCTCCAAAACAAAGACCACTTCACATAGTCTACTGTAACTGTGATGCTTCTGGGCTGAAAGAAGAACGCCCTCGCACACTTCCTGCTTGATCGACAGAGAGACAGACAATCCAGAGATGTCTTCAGATCTCAGGTGAACCAAAAATCTTACTGATGTGCCCCTTTCACTGGCTATGACAGCATCTCCGGCAGCTTCAGTCTTAGTCGTGGTTTCTGTCAGCTGGTTTAAAAAAGCCTTTTACTTAAAGCTGTAGTAATGTGTTAAAAATCAATTCACTGGTTTAAAAAGATTAGGTACATGAGGGGGATTATAAAGTATCTCCTGGAAATCAGAACAAAGCAAACAAAATACCAGCGACTGGGTGGGGATTCATGCCACTCAGCTTTATACATCTGTGTACATCTTCGTAAATACATAGTTAGCTACGATGAGCTGGACTTCCCTTTAGGTCAATGGAGAGAAACAGAAAATCCTGGAGCATGATTTATAACTTCTATGGTAAATATTCTCAAGTGGAAGTGTTTATTGCTAGCCACTGAATTTAAAGGTAATCTAAATTATTAGTTATAATGTAGGCCTCAACCCGGTGTGTGTATTCAAGTGTAGGTGAGGTGACACCTGACTTGGGAAAACAAAATGACTAAATATAATTGAAAAGGATTTGCTTGAAATATTCTGTCAATTAAGATTGTTTTGAACACCCTGTGTGGGTATAATAGAGAAAATGTATTTAAGAAAGTTCAACATTTGAACTTCTTTTAAAACCTCAGTTTCTCACCTGAAGAAGTGTTGCCCTTTTTATAACAACAGGCTTTATTTTTACAAGTATCCACCTTTTTCTTCATGCATTTCTTGGCTCATATAATTTTAAAATTGTTTTGCACCAACTGAAGAAGCATTTTCATTTGTTCTTGTGTTGAGGGGAGAGCGTCTTTCTCGGGTTACCTACAGTCTTAGGGTGTGATTTTTCTGCCTAGCTACATCTGAAATAGTTGTTTACACTAACTTGAGAAAGAAATGTCTGTTTCTTGGTTGCTTGTAATGCAGACCTTTAAAATAGGTTGGATGAGCTGCACGCAGAGTGTTTCTTTCCACTGAAGAGACTGTAACAGGGTTATTGGTTCATCTGTAAATGAATATATCAGAAAAATCTTTCAGATGTGATACAGCAATCCATTTTCCATTGTTTTCCATCTTTATTTTTCATATTTGTCGTGTTTCATGTATCTTATCATTAATCTTATCCTTCTAATTCCTTCTCCAGGCAAAGTATCTGAAACTCACTGCAGCCTAATTTCTTATTTGAACATTATCTGAAAGAAAACATGGAAAATCACACCAAGGCAACTGAGTTCATTTTGACTGGGTTCAAGTCTTACCCAGGATCACAACTCCTCCTCTCCATTCTCTTCTCAGCAATGTATGTTGTCACTGTGGTAGGAAATGCCTGCATGGTCCTCATCATTAGAATGGACTCCAAGCTGCACACTCCCATGTACTTTTTCCTAAAGAACCTGTCCATCTTGGACATCTGCTATTCTTCTGTCATCACTCCCAAAGCAGCAGTGACATTCTCACTGGGCAGAAGAATAATTTCCTACAGTGGCTGCGCATCTCAAATGTTCTTCTTCTCTCTCTTCGGTACAACAGAAGCCTTCTTCCTTGCTGTGATGGCTTATGATCGCTTCAGTGCCATCTGTAATCCACTGCTGTACCAAATCATCATGAATAAAAGACTTTGCATTTTCATGGTGATGGGCTCTTATCTATCAGGCTGCATCAACTGCACAATCCAGACAGGCTTTACATTCAATCTGTCCTTCTGTGGGCCCAAAGAAATAAACCACTTCTTCTGTGATGTTCCTGCAGTGATGCATGTCTCCTGCTCAGACACTCTTGTCAATGAAATGGTAATGCTGGCTGTATGTGGATCAATTACTGTGGGCACTGCCTTGGTGGTTTTTATCTCCTATGGCTATATAATCATCACAATTATCCGAATGCCTTCAGCTGAGAGCAGGCGCAAGGCCTTCTCCACTTGCTCTTCTCACATGCTGTCTGTCACCTTGTTCTTTGGGGCTGTTTTCTTCATGTATGCTCAGCCTGGGGCCACATCTTCACCTGACAAAAGCAACACCATCTCTATACTCTATACTATTGTTGTTCCTATGCTAAACCCTTTCATCTACACCCTCCGAAACCAGGAGGTAAAAGAGTCTCTGAAAAGACTGTTAAAAAGGAAAGGTTTTCTTTAGTATCTTTACTAAAGATAATGATGACCATAGTGTCCAATTCACTACAGACAGAGAGATGTTTAGAATGTAAAACAAGCGACATCAGGGCTTGCTTTAAACAGTCTTTCGTGATTATAGATGATTGGTGTAACAGATGAACGCAGGAGGTATAAAAGAAATCTAGGATAATCAGATCAGATGAAGGTCAGGATTCATTTGATCAGATGTAGATATTTACAATCCATCTTAACCATAACATAGAATCCTTTTATAACTATTCAAAAGGCACAAGCATTTTAAAGCCGTAATTAATCCGTAATTAAACTCCAACTCTGGTAGTGCCTTATTCCATGCGTTGGAACACAGCTAGTTCGGGTGGAGATATTCTCACTGTAAACATACAAAGATAAATTAAAGTGAACTGAATGATTTCTTTGCCTGAGACTCCTCAGGTTTAAACCATTTTTTTTTCCTCAATTTTGCTTTTAATCACTTCTCTTAGAAATGAGTGGAACCACTGAAATCCAAGTTCCAACCATCAAGCATTGATGGGCAATTGAAATCTTGTGGCTGAAGTGCTCTCCTCTGGGTCCATGCGTTTGTGTGCATTGCATGAGTGTTTTCAGTAGGATGGAAGCTATTTCTCTGTGATAAATAAGCTGGCAGCATCACAATCTGACATAGTCTGAAGATAATATGGGTAAACTCAGCTTAACGGCTGTTTGCAGTGGTAAAAATGTGCATTTCAAAAATACCAACTTAAACTTCTGCATCATGTGTCTGAAGCCCGATTTCTGGAGTATGATGTGAGCACCATCTTACCAGAGGCCCACTCAGTTCTCATTATATTACAATGTAAGTTAAATGCCAGGGGTGACGAGAAATCCTTTCAGAGAAAGTAATTCTTTAAAATAATTGTTAACTACTTGAAAGAAATAATACCACTATAAAATAAATCAATCACTATCCATAGTTACCTCTTTCTCTCTTATCTATACCATAAACTCAAATGCAGATGCCTATATTCCCATGCATACAAAGCCATCCTAAACTGGTGGAGAAAATACCAGAGGAATATCCCTCTGTGTTGACCATAAGCATTTCACTGACCATGTACCATAGGTGTTTCTAGGAGTTTTTTCTGTTGTAACTTCAGTGCCTACTGGTCTTCCAAACGATCTAAACTAGTATGTAAAGACACTGGGGGGGAATGCAGCTTCACTGTAAGATATCTATGTTCAGGTACAGTGGAGGTCTCTACACCTGAAGGTTAGTATTTTCCAGCAAGCTATTTTTCACCCTGCTATAGGCAAGTCTCAGCCAGGGGTAACTACCACTACATTTGCTAGCTAAAAACCAGTGCTACACACTTGACCTAGGCACCAGAAATGCCTCTGATGTTGCTGAGCTTAATAATACAGAGAGAACTTGCACACACAAATCATAAATGATACTTCAGTGAAAAGTATGAGATGTGTACTTTCAGCTATCTCATTTTTCTCTGATTCTCAGCCAAACACTACGCGGTTGGTCTAAACCGAACAATGTTTACTATTACCCGGTCCGTTACAAACCATAGCGCTGTGAAGGGGAAGAGGAGGCCCCGCCACAGGCTGGTACCACCCCCTGCTCTTCAAAGGACTCGAGATAAGGAGCGGACAACACAGGCAGCTTCGTGGCAAGCAAAGGCTTCCCAGCTGCCTGCAGGTGGGCAGCGTTTCCCTCCCACCCCTTCCGCCCCATCTCGGAAGAGACCCCTAAAGCCCCGCGGCACAGCGACACCCTAGACTCGGGCACGGCCCTGCGCGCCGGCGCTGCAGGGGTTAACGCTGTAGGGCGCGCTGGCCCTTTAAGTGCCGGGGGGGGGGCGCATGCGCGGTTAGCGCGCACGCACTTCGGGCAGCCATGCGGGTACTGGTGGGTGAGTGCGGGAGGGGCTGGGCCGGGCGGGGGGCGCTGCGGGCGCTGGGGGCAGGGGTTGGAGCACCCCGGGGTGAGGACACGGTGCGTGGTGCCCGGGCACGGGGAGTGGGTTGGGGTTAGGGTTAGGGTTAGGGTCAGCAGCGCCCTGCAGCACTGGGAGTGGGTTGGGGTTAGGGTTAGCAGAGCCCTACAGCACGGGGAGTGGGTTGGGGTTAGGGTTAGGGTTAGCAGCGCCCTACCGCACTGGGAGTGGGTTGGGGTTAGGGTTAGGGTTAGCAGCGCCCTACAGCACGGGGAGTGGGTTGGGGTTAGGGTTAGGGTTAGCAGCGCCCTACAGCACGGGGAGTGGGTTGGGGTTAGGGTTAGGGTCAGCAGCGCCCTACAGCACGGGGAGTGGGTTGGGGTTAGGGTCAGCAGCGCCCTACAGCACGGGGAGTGGGTTGGGGTTAGGGTTAGGGTTAGCAGCGCCCTACAGCACTGGGAGTGGGTTGGGGTTAGGGTTAGCAGCGCCCTACAGCACAGGGATTGGGTTGGGGGTAGGGTTAGTGTTAGGTTTAGGGTTAGCGGCGCCCTACAGCACGGGGAGTGGGTTAGGGTGTGGGTTTGGGTTAGGGTTAGCAGCGCCCTACAGCACGGGGAGTGGGTTAGGGTTAGTGTTAGCAGCGCCCTACAGCACGGGGAGTGGGTTAGGGTTAGGGTTAGCAGCGCCCTACAGCACGGGGAGTGGATTAGGGTTAGGGTTAGGGTGTGGGTTAGGGTTAGCAGCGCCCTACAGCACGGGGAGTGGGTTAGGGTGTGGGTTTGGGTTAGCAGCGAGCAGGGTGCTCTGGGTGCGGGCTTTGGGGTGCAGGTCTGGGACGCCCTGTCTGTCTCCTAGGTGGGGGGACCGGCTTCGTGGGCACAGCCCTGACCCAGCTGCTGCGGAGCCGCGGCCATGAAGTGACCCACGTCTCTCGGCAGGCGGGCAAGGATCGGATCAGCTGGGTATGGGAGCGGAGGGCTCAAAGGAGGGAGGATGTGGCGGGGCTGAGGAGCCAGCCCGCTTGGCCTGGCCTGCTGCGGCGTACGGGGGCTCTGCGGTGGGGAGTCTCGGTCCTGTGGGTGTTCTCTTCGCCTCCTGGGTGCTCCATGGCTTCTAGGCACTGGGATGGGTTCTCTGGAGCTCCAGGGAGCAAAACCATCTCCATTCATGCTTGCGCTCCAGGCAGTGTCATGAGGGAACCGGCTGGAGTTCTTGGGAGTCTGCACTGCTTGGTTGTTGGGAAGCCTTGAGCAGAGGGGAGGCTGCTGTGTGATGTCCCTGTTATCCCTGCCTAGGAGCAGCTGTCCCAGTCTGGATTGCCCCAGTGCGACGCTGTGGTGAACTTGGCTGGTGAAAATGTCCTCAACCCTTTCCGCAGGTACCTTGGTGTCCCATGGTGCTGTTCCAAAGTGAAGGCAAGACAGGCCAGTGCTGACAGAGATGTGGAAGGAATCTGGGGAGGAAACTGTCCAGGAAGCACTGGGGTTATTACCTTAACAATTGACATTTGGGTTCTCAAGTATCCAAAAGATTTCTGTGGGCCTGTTGAGTCCTGGGAGACCTTTGGAAGACTTGTTGGAGGCTTGGCAAAGTAGCTCTGTGTATCCAAAATTACACCAGATGCCTACATTTAGATAATGTAAAGTTAGAACCAGAGGTTTACTTCTGTGAGGGTGGGTTTGGAAATGCCTTCACCAGGCACTTGGGAAGAATTCACATCACCCAACTTTGGTGTCCAGCTTGTCTGCTGCCTTTATCCTAAGGCAGTCCAAAACCTAGGGCCTTCTGTTGGAAGTGAGGGGCCACCATCCCCCAAAGTCCCCATGTCCTTAGGTAATAAGATCCCGTGTCCTCCCCCTGCTTTGGAGCGTGGGGGAGTTCTTATGACCTCTTCCATGCTTGTCAATGGGGGTCCGGTGGGAGCCCCTTGGTGCTGTTTCCTGGGATGCCTCGTGGGGATTGTAATCAGTGGCTCTCCCTTTCCCAGATGGGGCGATGCCTTCTGCAGGGAGATCATCAGAAGCCGCGTTGAGACCACCAAGACCTTGGCCAAAGCCATTGCTGATGCTGAGCAGCCACCCCATGCTTGGGTCGTCGTCACCGGCGTAGGTATTGGTTGGGCCCGGCTGAGGCATGGCTCGTGCTGACCTGAAGAGGCAAACCTCCAGACAGAAACACACTTCTGAGGGCATCAGTCTTGCCTTGAAATGCTGGCTTCATTGCCAACACATGTCGTTGTGTTTCAGAAACCCTTGGTCAGCTTTTTCCTACTCCGGGATAGGAATTTGTGTCCCTATGCTTCCTTTCGCTGTTACCTAAGCAGGGCCTCAGCTGAATCCCCCTGTATATCTCTTTGCATTTCTGCTTGCTACAGTCTTTAAAACTGCCACAGTGATGCCCAGTTTTTAGATGCACCTTTTCTATTCAGACTGATCAGTGTGTTGCTGCTGTATTTGGTTCTTAGGCCTACCAGCGCAACCTGAGTATTGGTGCATCCCTCTGAACTTGCAGACCGCATTTGTTACTTCAAAAACTGTCTCTGCCATCAGAGGGACCCTGTGCTGTTCACATGGGATGTCTGTGATGGAGTGATCAAGTTCTGGGCTCTTGGACGCAGGGAGGAAGTTGGGGAAGGGGGTGGTGGCTGATTGAGTCCTGACCCCCTTACTGCTCTTACACCCACAGGCTATTACCGCCCTAGCCCCACAGCAGAATATACTGAGGACAGTCCTGGGGGGGACTTTGACTTCTTTTCACGCCTGGTGAGCTCCTGGGAGGCTGCAGCTCTCATCCCTGGGAGCCCAGCTCGTGGTGTTGTGGTGAGATCTGGTGAGATGGAGCATCATGCCTGTTCAGGGTGGCTCTGCTTTGGTGCTGGGGCAGGAGAGGGAAGAGGAGGGAGAAGGTCTTGTGCCTCACCTCACTGGGGTGCTGTTCCAGTCCAGCCCTCTTAAGGACTGTATCTTTTGCAGGTTGGGAGGTGAAGGGAGCTTTTGTCCTTTGGGAGGCTCGGGGGGGGGGGAAGTTGTGGTCTCACTCTGTTCTCTTCACAGGAGTAGTGCTGGGCCAAGGTGGTGGTGCAATCTCTCAAATGATCTGGCCCTTCCGCCTTGGACTAGGAGGCCCAGTGGGCTCTGGGCTCCAGCCCTTCCCCTGGATCCACATTCGGGACCTGGCTGGGATTGTGTGTCATGCCCTGGAGACTGAGGGTCTCCGAGGTGTCTTCAACGGTGTGTCTCCATCCTCCCCTGCCACCTCCAATGGCACCTTTGCTCGGGAGCTTGCTGCTGCCCTGGGGCGCCCAGCGCTGCTGCCCATGCCTGCTTGGGCTGTGCGGGCTGTCTTTGGTGCAGAGCGGGCTGTGATGCTGCTGGAAGGCCAGAAAGTGGTGCCAAAACACACCCTGGAGAGTGGCTACAGCTTCATCTTCCCAGATCTACCAGGAGCACTGAAGGACATCGTGTCTTGAGGACTCCTTGGTTGGGCTGGGTTGGGCCCTGTTTCTGTGAGCAGCCTGGCTCATGTGCCTTCCCCTGGGTGAAAGAGGCAAGCCCTGCCCCTTGTTGACACTTCCCTACTACTGTACAAAGAAGATGAGCAATCTGTTCCCTTTCTGTCTCCCTTTGTGCATCCCCAGTTTAGGAGTCATCCCTCTTACTGTCATCTGCAGTCTCCACAGGACCTGCTTTTGGGCAGGGGAATGAGCCCCTCTGAGGGTTGTGAGTGCTGAATCTGATCTGCCATCTTCCCTTTTCCCCTCATGCTGATCCCTCAGTGGCTGGCACTTAGTCCTTGCAGCACAAATACATGGGATAGAGTGAGGTTACGCAGCATTATGAAAAGGTTTTGTAAGAAGACAGGACACACTGTGGTGATAAAACGCTGAGTTCAGCCAGGCCAGTACTGACTGGCCCTGGTTTACACCCAACCCACCTCTTTTATCCCCCTTTTCTGTCTACCTCCTCTTTGTTGCTCCCAGTTTCTCCTCCCCTGCACATTTCCTCAACAGGTAATGTGGTCCCACTAACTCCATCCAACATCCTGGGCACTCAGGTTTGCATCCTTACCAGTTGCTAACTCCTGGTTGTCTATAGCTTCTGGAGAGCTCATCAGCAGAGCAATCAGGTGATCAGGCCCAGGCAGCATGGGTTTATGAAAGGCAGTTTCTGCTCACGAAGCCTGATCTCCTGTGGCAAAACAACCTGCTCAGTGGAGGAGGGAAAGGCTGTGGATGTTGTCTACCTTGTCTTCAGTCCATGACCCAGCTGTGTAGCCCCATCTCTCCTAAATGGAGAGAATTGGTGTCTCAGCCACCAGAGATTAGGATGTCTCCAGCTACTGTCCACCTCTGGTCCCTCCAGTAACCAATGCTTCCAGTTATCATGCACACAGCTGGTATAGAGCTCTCTTCACTTACTCAGCTGCCTGGATAGTTGCTTACACATTGATACAGCCTTGCTTGCTCAGTGTGCTCGCACCACAGACACGGGCCTTGTGTCTCCAGTTACTGCACTCAGGCCCCCACACACATGCACACAGAATACAGTGTTCACCCAGGAAGAGAGTTAGCATTGAAGTTTAATAAGACAGAAGAGACTGCACTGAGCAAAGGGCAGGGTCAGACAGCTGCACCAACCAGCAGGTAGTTCTTCCCATGAATATCCTATAATAAATATTGTACAATCCTGAGATGCTTTTCACCTTCATTCCATAATGTGTGTGGGCTGTTATGCCCATAGGCAGTAACTGTCTCAGATGACCCAGAAAGCTACTGCCACTGATTGACCAGAATGGGTATCACCCTGACAGTGTGGGGCTGATTGCTCTGCTGCTACTGCCCTAGGAAGAGCTGATTTAGGGTGTCTTGTTTCTCTGGTCAAGTTAGTGTAGTTTCTCTACCTGTTACTGGGCCTCTGTGTTCACCTCTGTGTGTGGAGACCAGCTTTTTATTGTATAACCAACAAGATGCACTTAGCAAAGGAGCAGAGAAGAGCCTGAACCCAGCAGGGCTGTTAAACATTTTGTATAATCACTTCTCTGAAGGATTTACTGATAAGGCCATCCTGTAGCAATGACAACTTACATTTCAGAGGACAGCTGAATACAAGATCCAGGACAGTAGCTCTGTAGATAGGAAAGGTATTATTTCTATTTCCTAATTCTGAGAAGGGGAGAAGTGACTACCATGAGTGCTCTGTCTGGTTACTGAGCTTGGGAACTGCTCAGGCTTCTCTGGGATGTAGAGAAAGGTGTAAAGAAAAGCTGGGAGTTTTGTGCATATACACTTTGACAGGGGCACCTACACCATGACATGAGGATGACATGAGGGACAGTTTGGTGACAGATCACCAGCTGGAAAAGGGGCTATTCACCAACCCCCTCTGGGTGGTCAGCCGGACCCAACCCAACTCCCACACAACTTGCCTAGACTGTAAGGTATTGGTTTCTCTAGGAGGAGGCTGTGGGAAACTCTTGAACCCAGGTAGACAATGTCCGTTCCCAGCCTGCATCAACTGAACAGGTTACTCTGTTGTAGAAGGTGATGAGGTTTGTCAAGCACGATTTGCTCCTGGGGAATCTGTGCTGGGGTTTTCCAGTCACGTGCTTGGTTTGACTTGTGATAGCCTCCAGGAGGGTTTGCTCCATTATCTTTGCTCCACCATCATCCAGGATGATTCGCTCCATCATCATGTGATGTAAGACTGATGGCCCTATAATTTTCTGGATCCTCCTTGAGCCTGTCTTGGGGTGATGGGGGTGATATTAGCCACCTTCTAGTGTTTCATAATGTCCCTTGATCTCCACGACTTCTCCAAGATGATGGAGTGTGCCCTCTGTTGTTGCTGGTAGTGTCTGATGGGACAGCCCTACAGCAGTTATGAAAAAGGTTTGTTCTAATGCATTCATTATTTTGGATGTCTCTTTCTTCTTGGAACACAGTCTGAAGCACCTTTAAAAAAGACATGAATTTAAAAGCTTCAAGCATTTGAAATGTAATGTCAAAGTGATTCAGTGTTATTCTATTAGAGTAATTTAAGTATTGTATTGAGTAATATATATAGTCTATATAGAGTATTGTATTAGAATAATTAAGCTTTTTTGTATTGAGAGGTTTCTTCCAGTCTTGTCTTTACAAGGAATAAAATGAGAAAATCAATTCTCTGGCTCTTCTCACAGAGTTCAAAGTAGATCAGCTCCCAGAAGCAAAGTCATTAGAAGCTTAAGTGAAGTTTCCTTAACTCTGGTTCTCCTGTGTTTTAATTATGAAGTTCCAGTAACCCACAGGCAAGTTAAGTTCCCTGGAGGGGGTGAAACAAACACTACATTGAAGATGTAAAAAACCACTTAGCCATTAAGCAGCTGTTGTAAAGTTTCTGAAGTGAGGCAGTGAATTTACCCTGCGATGGCTCCCGCTGCCTGTCCCTTGAGCAAGCAATGCAAAGATCAGCATAACCATATTGATAGGGAAGGTTTCTTTTGCTTGATCTCAATATGGAAACTGTGGTTTTAATGTTGCAGGATTAGGCCCAAGTTGGTTGTATTGGGATACAGTTATGACTGAATGACATAGATAAGGAATTCCTGGTTTCAAAAGAGACAAGTCACTCAGCATTAGAGATGGTAACAGGAATGATGATGGTAAAAAGCCAGCAGGATCCCTCTACTCCTGGAAACAACGTGATTTAGTGTTAACGTGGTGTAACTTGCTCTGGACTCTACAGACTGTATAGATGGGAACTGCACATAACGTAAAGGGATCCAAGTTTCCTCCGACACTTCTCCAGAAAGAATTTCTCTTCTGCAATTGTCTTTGCTGGAAGTTCAGATATTTCAATAATGATAAGTTACACGAGTTACAAAGCAAAAAGATGACCATTTTGCAGGGAGTTAAGCTATTCCCGTTCCTTCTGAGAACAGAACCCTCGAAATAAGTCTCCTGATGGCCTTTTTCATTTCAGTATTTCTCAGGGTGTAGACCATGGGATTCAGCACTGGAACAACCACAGTGAAGAAGATGGAGACCACTTTGTCCAGTGCAAATGTCTTGAAGGGCCGAGCATAGATGAATATCCCTGGAATGAATGTTATACCTATTGCCATTATCTGCGCTATGCAGGTAGAAAAAGCTTTGTGCTTTCCTTTGGTGACCTGCCTCCTTATCTTGACTAAAATGACAGTGTATGAAGTAAGCAGCAAGACAAAAATTATTATGAGGAGTAGGCCACCATTTGAGACCATCAGCAGCTCTATCAGGTAGGTGTCAATGCAGGCCACTTTCAGTACTTGTGGGACATCACAGTGGAAATTGTCCAGAGTGTTAGGACCACAATAAGGTAAAGGGAGAAGCAGAGTAATCTGTGTTGCAGAGTGAATGAATCCTCCTGCCCATGACCCTGCCACTAGACCTAAACACACTGCACGGTTCATTACAGTCAGGTACTGCAAGGGCTTAACAATAGCCACATAGCGATCAGCTGCCATCACTGCAAGAAGAAAGATATGAGCACCACCAATGAAATGGAACAAAAACATGTGAAGCATGCACTCCTTGAGTGGAACAGATCTGGGCTGGGAGAGGAGACTTGACAACAGAATGGGAGTAGTGACTGATGATTCAGCAATATCTGTGAATGCTAAGTTGGCCAGGAAGAAGTACATCGGTGTGCGCAGGTGGTAGTCAGTGATAACAGTGGTGAGGATGGTGATGTTTTCCAAGCAGGTCATCAGATAGACAAGGCAGAAGACTGTGAAGAGGAATTGCTGAATCTTAAGACTGTTGTTAAAACCCAGGAGAACGAATTCTGTTACAGGACTGGTTACGTTCTGCATCTCCAGTTACCATCTGAGAGTGCCTGTGAGGAATTTAGAAGGGAGAGTGAAGTTAGCTTTCAACACCAAGAGGGGTCATCTTTGCACTCCTCTGGATCAGAAATCCCCATCCTAGAACCCTCCTTATATCCCCACACTAAACAGTGCAAATTCTGTTTAGCCCAGGTAGTATCAGTGTTGGGAACTGCTTTCTTTCATCTTCACCTTGGCTTCCCTGAATCTGTACTCTTAAAATCTGGTGTAACTTTACAGTTAGTTGCTCTCCTCATAAACAGACTTTTGTTTCCCCAGCAGTGCAGGCTTTGGCCCCTCCTCAATGCAACAGTTCTTATCCCTAATATTACTTCATTCCATTCAGGCATCAAGAGCCCCTTATTCCACCCAGGACTGCTTTGCCTGCAGTCTCAGAGTTGCCTGGTTCCTCTTCTCCACAGAGGACTCCAAAGAGGAAATAATAAAGGAATAAAAACCCCAACCAAACCCCAAATCCAAACAAACCCCATTTCTGCATCTTCTCTAAGCATCAAAGCAGATGTGAGGAGCAAAGTTACTGTGAAACCTGTACGAACTTTCCTGGGTCTGAACAAAAATGGTTTTGCTAATGCCACTAATGGATTCCTGCTCTGGCAAACAGTGTTTACTGGGCTACTCCTCTGTAAGTCAAAGGGAAACAGGATATACTGCACATTTCTTTGCAGGCATGTCTTACCAGTTGACAGATTCTTTTATGCTATGGACAATAAGCCTTGCTTGCTGCTGCTTGCTTTTGTAGGGGATGAAGTATACAGAGTCAGTTGGTTTGACACACTTTGCTGAATGGCTGGCACGGACAAAGCCTGAATTTGGGACATTGCCTCTTCGTGTGTATGTCCCCTTGCATGGAGAGTCAGTGCTCACTTCAGAGACGAACCACAGGATAAACCGATCAGGGATTGCCAGAGAATTTGGGCTTGTGCTGTGGTTCTGTCAGTAAAGAATTTAGAGTAGTCTATTCCTCCTTATCCTGTTAGATTTTCATTTAAAGCAATACACAGGGTATTGCTGTGACTATCAATACCCTGGAAACAGATGTCGGGAGCAGGAAGAGATGCCTGCTCTGCAATGGAAGGCAAGCCAGGGACTGAGAGTGACAGCAAGGCAGCCAGAAGCAGCCCAGCTCACCAGCAAAGCTCGCCCCATAGTGCACACAAAGAAAGAGCAAAGCAGAATCATTGATAGTAACCAGTTAGCCCAGCGATTGCCAGAGGGAAAAGGATGCCAGGGAACAAGACAATGACACCACTAAGCTCAATGTGAGAAGCAGAGCAAAAGAAGGATAAGTTGCGTGAGACACTCAGGCACATTCAAACACACTTCAGTGATACTTGCCAAAATTACCCTTCCAGTTGAGCTCAGGGGAAGGTGGCTCTCTCCAGCAAGGCTCAGGGCTGGGTTCTTGGGTGGCAGGTTGGCACCCAACAGCTTCTCCTGCCCCACATCTGCACACTGTAGCTGCTTTACCTTCTCAATTTCCTACAGCAGCTACCAGTGCTGCTGCTGATCAGAAAGTCCACAGTGGCATCATTCCAGCACTTTCAGATGTTCTATTGTCACTTGCTGATCCAAGATCATCCACGTTTTATTCGCACTGGGCTGGCACAGCATACCCCCAGCATAGCAAGGGCAAGAAACAAGAAGAGGACGTAAGTTTAAAAGTTTAAGTCCTGAACCAGTTGGCAAATAGCGTCCCCAGATGAGGCTTCCTGCAGGGATTATGTCATAAGGGAATGAATTAAAAAGTTCCTGCGTTTTTTATTCCATAGGTGGTAATCCCACAAGCACAAGAGGCTCAGTAAATGTCCTTCTGTCCTCCATGACCCTGAATACTCCATGTGACTCCCTGCAGTACTGAGTCCCATGACAGGACCATATCAGTAGTCAACAGGTAAAACCTGGTTGCCATCTCCTCCTTTCCCTCTGCCTCTCCCTCTCTCTCTTCTCATAGAGGAGGTGCTTCAGCCCCCTGATCAGTTCTGTGGCCCTCCTTGGACCAGCTCAAGCGGGTCCATGTGTTCCTTATCCTGGTGGCCCCAGACCTGAATGGAGTACTCCAGCTGGGGTCTCACAAGAGCAGAGTAAAAGGGCAGAATCCCTTCCCTTGACCTTCTGGTCCTTCTCCTTTTGATACAGCCCAGCACATGGCAGTTTCTGGGTTGAAAGCACACACTGCCAGCTCATGTTGAGTTTTTCATCAGCCAACACCTCCAAGTCCTGCTCAGGGCTGCTCTCAATCCATTCATCACCCAGCCTTTGCCCATGGTTGGGATTGCCCCAAGCCAGGCAGAGCACCCTGCTCTTGACCTTGCTGACCTCCGTGAAGTTCACCCCGGCCCACCTCTCCAGCCTGTCAGGGGCCTTCTGGATGGCATCCCTTCCCTCTAGAGCATCAGCCAGCACTCAGCCTGTCATCATCCGCAGACCTGGTGAGAGTGCCCTCAGTCCTGCTCTCCATGTCCCCAACAAAGATGTCAAATAATATTGGCCCCAGTCTGGACCCCTCATCACTGGTCCCCCCTTGGACATTGAGTCATTAACCACCCAGCCTATGCCTTATCCTCCTGGTCCACAGCTCCCCATTTTAGAGACAAGTATGTTGTGTGGGTCAGTACCAGATGCTTTGCAGAAGTCCAGGTAGATGATGTCCCTTTCCCTTAACCATCAATGTTGTAACCCCATCATAGAAGGCCACCAAATTTGTCAGGCATGATTTTCCCTTAGGGAAGGCATGTCACCAGTCACCTCCTTATTTTCCATGTGCCTTTGCATATTTTCCAGGGGGATGTGCTGCATGACGTTGCTGGACATCAAGGTGAGACTGACTGGTCTGTCGTTCCCCACAGTTGTTCCTGTAATATGAGTTACAAGTTTGGCTCTAAGCAATAATGATCACAAAAATGAACTCATGATTTAGAGCCAAAAGAACCATCAGTGATTCTGTGACTAAATTATCATCTTGATTTTAATTCAGTTGAAATGGTGAACCTTCCTCCTCCTGCTCCTCCTCCTCCTTCTCAAGGAGGAAGGAAGGAAGGAGACTCGGTGAAATTCCTCGTACAGGTATTTCCTGATAAATGTTCAAAGTATATTTTTAGTACAGAGAGGAAAAAAGGAAAGGTAAACTCATCTACAGTGTTGTACATAGGAAAAACACATATCCAACAATAGTGCTGACCAAATGAAATGTACTATGTATCTTCAAGGATTAGCATCATTTCTACCATAAGTTCTCATTTGCTGTAAATGCAAAGGATTCAAAGGAGATAAAATAAGACGAGAACAGTCTTCGTTTAGAGGGATTTGTGTTTCGAAACTTGTGCATATTATCTCTTTTTGGCACAGTTTTATAGTTTCATTAATTAATTCCTGGCTAGTGTGGGAAACACGGTGCAAAGAGGGAATCTGACAGTGCCGGTTCCTCTCAACAGACCTGTTCATTTTGGTTGTAAAACCTTGCTTTCACTTTGGAAATATCAGAAGGCCTATATAGAGAAAACCTCATTATTGATAAAAACGTGGAAATTGAAGAGTCACAGCTCCTCTAGCCATAAAATGTATGCCAATGCAATACTTGTGTGGCCAGCCAGCAACTGGGCTTAAACCATTTAATATTTGCTCTCTAGAAGTCACATAAACCATGTGAGGTATTCGCTCCACTTCCAAACAATGAAGTAGTGCCCAGGGTTGTTCTGGTGAATGATTCATCTACCAATGCTGATTTCTAAAGACTTCAAATGAAACGTGTTCTCAAAGGTGCAGAAGGAATAAGGACTCGGAGGCCCAGGCTTGGATGCAGCACAACTTTAATGAGGGTAAAGAAGAAAAGGAGGTGGCTCCCAGGGAGCACCAGGGGCAGCCACCAAGAGGCGGTGCAGCTCCTGCAGGGTGTCCGTCTGCCTGTCCCTCACTGGGAGGGAGGAGGGAGGGAGGCCAAGAGGTCCCCACGGGGCTGGTGCGGGAGGTGGAGACAGGAAAGGAATGGAGAGGACAGTGGGAGAAGGAAACAGCGCCGCGAAGCTCTATCTCCTGTGCAGATCCATGGTGTGAGGTCGTGGATGTTCCTGCCTGAGGACGCAGCCAGCAGCTTTAGCAGGGTCTGCACCTGGTGCCGCAGTAGCGATTGGTGATGCAGGAGAGGTCGAAGCCCCCGGAGTTGATGGGCACTCCCTCACAGCTGAGGATGCTGCCAACGGCGGCGGAGGTGGAGGAGCCCACAACGGTGTTCTGAGGGAAGGAGCTGAGGATGGGGCCGGGCAGGGTCACCACCACGGGGGAAGGCTCAATGACGACGGTGGAGCTCTGGCACTGCCTGACACAGCACTCATTGCAGCTGTTGGCCAGCGGGGTCGGGCCGCAGGGCTGGCAGGGCACGCACGGGTTGCAGCAGGACATGTCTGGATGCTGGAGCTTCACCTGGACACAGGGCAGGGGCAAGCAGAGGATGGGACATGGCAGCAGCAGCTCTGCACCCAAGCCTGGGCAAGCCAAGGCACCTCCCGGCCCAGCACACGCTGACCACCTCCAAGCCCAGCAGCCGCCTCAGCTCAGTCCCAGCCTCTCTCTGCACAAGCCCTTCTCTCCCCTTCCCTCTGCCCCCCTCCGAGAAGCAGCTCCCAGCCCTGCGCTAGCACAGCCCCCATCAGCTGAGAGCCCCGGGGAGGAACGACCTGCTCTGGAAGCAGCAGCACAAGAGGCTTCGCACTCACCTGATTGCCAGGAGAAGGAGGCCAGAGAAGTGGATGAGGAGCACAGACCTGGGCTGCCTTTTATAGTCGTCCTGCAGTGCCTCAGGCCCACAGGCACCTCTGTGGCAGCAGGAATTTCCTGGCAAGCCCATGGCAAATGCAAACCCTCCCAGGTAATGGCAGGGGCCGTGTCCCGGTTTCCGGCACTGCTGCCTTTTCATTTCCCGGCTCATGTGCTTTGCCATAGGAAGGCTTCTGTCAGTGCCGGGATGAGAAGCCCAAGGGTTTCCGGGGCAGAACCACGTGAGCGCAGCAGAAGCCTCCCATCAAGGGCTGGTGCATCCCGTGCAGGCAGGGGATGTGCTCCTGGCTCATTCCTGTGGGCTTGCTTGTGGCCACGCTGTGGGAAATGGGCACCGCTCTCGTGCTTCTCTTCCGCATGCCCAAGGACTGCCACAGGAGAGGACATGGCACAGCCTTTCCTCTTGCTCCCCTCAGCTCTCTCTGAGGAAAAGCCATTGTTGTGTGCATTTAACCTAAGATACAACTGGCTTGCTTGATATTAGCAGAAGAACCAGGCAGCTTTCAAGGCTATTCAAAGGATATTCAAAATCTTTACAATTCTCAGATAGTACTGTGACTATCCTGGAGGAGAAGGAGGATCCTGGAAGGGAAGAAGGGAGGAAGGAAGGACGGAAGGTGTTTGCGCCGCCGGTTGGCTCTTTCTGCAAAGGACAAGGATGTAATTGTGAATAGCTCCCAGCAGATGGCTCCCGAGGGACAAAGGTGCCCGGGAGCGCACGCAGATGAGCTCCGTGACCACCGCTCGATCGTGTCATAACCAGGCACTACCACGGACAACAAAAGGAGAACACGTTCTGGTCAGATCCGTCGATATCTCCACCCTTCTTGCCCCATGCTGCCCACCAAAAGGGACTTTTGTAGTTTAAAACCAGTCAGCAACCAAGTACAGCACAGCCGCTGGCTCAAACGCTCCCTTCAGCCCCTGGCGGGATGGGGAGGAGAATGGGAAGCAAGTAAAACCCACGGGTTGAGATTAAGAACCCGCCTGGTCTGGCGTGGGATCGTCCATGGGCTGCAGTGTGGATTTCTGCTCCACCACGGTCTTTCCTTTGGGCTGCACAGGAATCTCTCCCCCACCACCTGGAGCACCTTCTCCACCTCTTCCTGCCCTGGCCTTGCTGTTTACAGGACTGGTTCTCAAGTGGGTTTTCCCTCACTTCCTGGGCAGTGTTCTGCCCTTTCTTAAACACCTTTCCACAGAGGCACCACCAGAGTGATGGGCTCAGCATTAGGCAGCACCGAGCCCATTTTGGAGCTGGCTGGATCTGATTCTTTCAGACATGGGTGAAGCCCCTGGATTGTTCTCACAGAAACCACCCCGGCACCCTTCCTCCTCCTGCTACCAAAGCCTTGCCACACAAGCCCAGGGGAGTGGGTCCAACAGAGCATGAGAAATTACAGAAATAGAAGTTTCAAAGGAAAATGTCCATGGTAGATCCTTTAGGAAGTGGAAGTGCTGGAGGTAATTATGGTGATCTCCTTAACATTATCATCATCAGATCTCAACTGCTGTATTCCACATTCACCCTGGGCTCCACTGACCCTCCTTCACACTTTTTCCCAAAGGATTCTGCCCATCAGGTCACCAAGAGGACAAAAATCTGCTCTTATGAGTGCAGGGTTGCAATTTTGCCTTCTGCTTTCACTGCCACTGCAGACTCTAAACAAGAGAGCTATCCCAGCCTTTCTCTAGAACCCCAAAAGCTCATAGGTCTTGAAACTGTCCTGCACGACACCCTTGTCTCTAAAATGGAGAGGCATAGATGTGATGGATGGACCACTTGGTAGGTAAGCAGTTGGCTAGATGCTTGCACTTGAAGAGTCTCTTATGTAGACAGGGTGAGAGAGCTGGACTTGTTCGGCCTGGAGAAGAGAAGGCTCCGGAAGACCTTAGAGTATCGCCCAGTGTCTAAGGGGGGCTAAAGGAAAGCTGGAGAGGGACTTTTGATGAAGGGCATGTAATAATAGTACAACAGTAATGGATTTCAACTGAAGGAAGGTAGATTCAGATGAAATATTACCAAGAAACTCTTCCCTGTGAGGGTGCTGAGGCGCTGGCACAGGGTGCCCAGAGAAGCTGTGGCTGCGCCATCCCTGACAGTGCTCAAGGCCAGGCTGGACACAGGGGCTTGGAGCAAGGTGCTCTAGTGGAAGTTGTCCATGCTTGTGGTAGGGGAATTTGAATGAGATAAGGTTTAGTGTCTCTTGGAAACCAAAATGTTCAACGGTTCTATAATTTCATGAAACATGAAATTAATTTACCATGTTTCCACGTGACAAAATCCACTGCAGTGACGCTGATCCCTCCCACCTCCAACTTTTCCCCTGAACAGAGTGGAACGGTTCCTCGAAGAAGAAATAAGGACTTGGAGGCCCAGGCTTGGATGCAGCACAACTTTAATGAGGGTAAAGAAGAAAAGGAGGTGGCTCCCAGGGAGCACCAGGGGCAGCCACCAAGAGGCGGTGCAGCTCCTGCAGGGTGTCCGTCTGCCTGTCCCTCACTGAGAGGGAGGGAGGGAGGGAGGGAGGCCAAGAGATCCCCACGGGGCTGGTGTGGGAGGTGGAGACAGGAAAGGAATGGAGAGGACAGTGGGAGAAGGAAACAGCGCCGCGAAGCTCTATCTCCTGTGCAGATCCATGGTGGGAGGTCGCGGATGTTCCTGCCTGAGGACGCAGCCAGCAGCTTTAGCAGGGTCTGCACCTGGTGCCGCAGTAGCGGTTGGTGATGCAGGAGAGGTCAAAGCCCCCGGAGTTGATGGGCACTCCCTCACAGCTGAGGATGCTGCCAACGGCGGCGGAGGTGGAGGAGCCCACAACGGTGTTCTGAGGGAAGGAGCTGAGGATGGGGCCGGGCAGGGTCACCACCACGGCGGAGGGCTGGATGGCGATGGTGGAGCTCTGGCACTGCCTGACACAGCACTCATTGCAGCTGTTGGCCAGCGGGGTCGGGCCGCAGGGCTGGCAGGGCACGCACGGGTTGCAGCAGGACATGTCTGGATGCTGGAGCTTCACCTGGACACAGGGCAGGGGCAAGCAGAGGATGGGACACGGCAGCAGCAGCTCTGCACCCAAGCCTGGGCAAGCCAAGGCACCTCCTGGCCCAGCACACGCTGACCACCTCCAAGCCCAGCAGCCGCCTCAGCTCAGTCCCAGCCTCTCTCTGCACAAGCCCTTCTCTCCCCTTCCCTCTGCCCCCCCACCGAGAAGCAGCTCCCAGGCCTGCGCTAGCACAGCCCCCATCAGCTGAGAGCCCCGGGGAGGAACGACCTGCTCTGGAAGCAGCAGCACAAGAGGCTTCGCACTCACCTGATTGCCAGGAGAAGGAGGCCAGAGAAGTGGATGAGGAGCACAGACCTGGGCTGCCTTTTATAGTCGTCCTGCAGTGCCTCAGGCCCACAGGCACCTCTGTGGCAGCAGGAATTTCCTGGCAAGCCCATGGCAAATGCAAACCCTCCCAGGTAATGGCAGGGGCCGTGTCCCGGTTTCCGGCACTGCTGCCTTTTCATTTCCCGGCTCATGTGCTTTGCCATAGGAAGGCTTCTGTCAGTGCCGGGATGAGAAGCCCAAGGGTTTCCGGGGCAGAACCACGTGAGCGCAGCAGAAGCCTCCCATCAAGGGCTGGTGCATCCCGTGCAGGCAGGGGATGTGCTCCTGGCTCATTCCTGTGGGATTGCTTGTGGCCACGCTGTGGGAAATGGGCACCGCTCTCGTGCTTCTCTTCCGCATGCCCAAGGACTGCCACAGGAGAGGACATGGCACAGCCTTTCCTCTTGCTCCCCTCAGCTCTCTGAGGGAAGGCCATTGCTGTGTGCAGATGGGCTTCTGCTGGCAGGGCTGGACCCTACTGCAACACCAACAGTGCTCTCAGGACACCTGTGCTGGGCCTACACTTGTGGGCTCCTCCTCTGCAAACCCTTGGGCTTCTCATCCCGGCACTGACAGAAGCCTTCCTATGGCAAAGCACATGAGCCGGGAAATGAAAAGGCAGCAGTGCCGGAAACCGGGACACGGCCCCTGCCATTACCTGGGAGGGTTTGCATTTGCCATGGGCTTGCCAGGAAATTCCTGCTGCCACAAAGGTGCCTGTGGGCCTGAGGCACTGCAGGACGACTATAAAAGGCAGCCCAGGTCTGTGCTCCTCATCCACTTCTCTGGCCTCCTTCTCCTGGCAATCAGGTGAGTGCAAAGCCTCTTGTGCTGCTGCTTCCAGAGCAGGTCGTTCCTCCCCGGGGCTCTCAGCTGATGGGGGCTGTGCTAGCGCAGGGCTGGGAGCTGCTTCTCGGTGGGGGGGCAGAGGGAAGGGGAGAGAAGGGCTTGTGCAGAGAGAGGCTGGGACTGAGCTGAGGCGGCTGCTGGGCTTGGAGGTGGTCAGCGTGTGCTGGGCCGGGAGGTGCCTTGGCTTGCCCAGGCTTGGGTGCAGAGCTGCTGCTGCCGTGTCCCATCCTCTGCTTGCCCCTGCCCTGTGTCCAGGTGAAGCTCCAGCATCCAGACATGTCCTGCTGCAACCCGTGCGTGCCCTGCCAGCCCTGCGGCCCGACCCCGCTGGCCAACAGCTGCAATGAGTGCTGTGTCAGGCAGTGCCAGAGCTCCACCGTCGTCATTGAGCCTTCCCCCGTGGTGGTGACCCTGCCCGGCCCCATCCTCAGCTCCTTCCCTCAGAACACCGTTGTGGGCTCCTCCACCTCCGCCGCCGTTGGCAGCATCCTCAGCTGTGAGGGAGTGCCCATCAACTCCGGGGGCTTCGACCTCTCCTGCATCACCAACCGCTACTGCGGCTCCAGGTGCAGACCCTGCTAAAGCTGCTGGCTGCGTCCTCAGGCAGGAACATCCACGACCTCACACCATGGATCTGCACAGGAGATAGAGCTTCGCGGCGCTGTTTCCTTCTCCCACTGTCCTCTCCATTCCTTTCCTGTCTCCATCTCCCACACCAGCCCCGTGGGGACCTCTTGGCCTCCCTCCCTCCCTCCCTCCCTCCCAGTGAGGGACAGGCAGACGGACACCCTGCAGGAGCTGCACCGCCTCTTGGTGGCTGCCCCTGGTGCTCCCTGGGAGCCACCTCCTTTTCTTCTTTACCCTCATTAAAGTTGTGCTGCATCCAAGCCTGGGCCTCCGAGTCCTCCTTCCTTCTGTGGGAGATCCTCAAGTCTGCTTCCCCTTGGAGGTAGTAAAAACATCCCTGGCTTCTCCACCGACAATGGCCATCAGTGAGAGCATGGCTCCAAAGGGTGGCAGGAGCGGGCATGAGGAGTCAAGACTGCTCAGAAGAGCACACGGCTTCTTCTCTGATCTTCTCTCTGCCATCCTCTCTCCTACCTCAGCTAGTACGCTGTCCCTGCATGCCCAGCACACGTGGTTACAAGCAGATGAGATCCTACCTCATGCAGTCCTTCAGCACCTGTCAGAGCCCACCTCTCTCCAGGCATGCAGGGCTGAGGTAACCCAGCACTTAGGAAAATGACAGTGGTAACACCAGAGTCCCCCAGGTTAGGTGACAGACATGGGGAGCTGATAAAAATCCCCACAATCCAGGAATAAGTGGTGCTCCACTTAGACATACACCTGTCTATGGGTCTGGAAGGTTCCAAGCAAGATGGCTGAAGGATCTGGCAGAGGAGCGTGCCAAGCCACTCTCCATCACTGATCAGCAGTCCTGGTGTAGTGGGCAGATCCCCAGATGTTGGAGGTTGGCCACTGTGATGTTTCTTTAGAAAAAGGCAGGGAGGATTTTCCCAAAGCTCCAGGCCTGTCAGCCTGAGCTCGGTGCTGGGGAAGGTCATGGAGCAGATGATCCTTGGTGAGACCATAAGGCACGTACTGGAAAATTTCGGTATCAGACCCATTTCACACGGGTTCCTGAAGGGCATGTACTGTTTGACCAGCCTGAACTCTTTCTATGACAGGGTGAACCACCTAGGTGATGAGGGAAAGGCTGTGGACATTGTCTATTTGACTTTCCTGAAGCTTTTGACACTGTCCCATATCGTTCTGCTGGAGAAAGTGGTTCCTCATGGCCTGGAAGTGTGGATTCCTTGCTGGATTGAAAATGGCTCGAAGGCGGATTCCAAATAGTGGTCATAAATGGCGTCACATCTAGTTGGCGACTGATTACTAGTGGTGGTCCTCAGAGTTTGGTCCTGGGGCCAGTGTTTACAATCTTCGTTGGTGATCTGGGTGAGGGGATGGAGGGCACCCTCAGTGACTTTGTGGACAACACCACGTTGGGTGGGAGTGTTGATCTTCCGAAGGATAGGAATCTCTGGAGAGGGATCTGGACAAGCTGGATCCGTGGGCTGTGGCCAATGGAAGAGGTTCAACAAGGCAAAGTGCTGTAGCCTGCGTTTGGGCCACAACAACCCCCTGCAAAGCTCCAGGCCTGGGGAAGAGTGGCTGGAAACTGCCCATGAAAAGGACCTGGGGGTGCTGGTTGGTGGATGTGAACATGGCCCATGTAATGCCCAGGCAGCCAAGAAGGCCAAGGGAATCCTGGTCTGGAACAGACATAGTGTGGCTAGCAGGACCAGGGCATTTGAGGCTGCACCTAAAATCCCGTGATCATTTCTGTCCCTCTCACTACAAGAGACACACTGAGGAGCTGGAGTGGGGCCAGAGAAGGGCGGTGGAGCTGGTGAAGGGCCTGGAGCACAGTGTGATGGGGAACAGCTAAAGGACATAGGGAACTTTAGTCTGGACCTTCTCTCTCTCTCCAGCTACCTGACAGGAGGTTGTAGTGAGGTGGGGTTGGGCTCTTCTGCCCGGTAAGAAGTCATAGAAGAAAAGGAAATGCCTCAAGCTACACCAGGGGAGGTTTAGAGTGGAGATTAGGGCCAATTTCTACATCAAGAGTGCGATCAGGAATTGGAACAGGCTGCCCAGGGAAGTGGTGCAATTTGAACAGCCCCGGGAGCCTTAAACAACGTGCACATGAGGGCCTTAGTGACAATGATTACTGGTGGATCTGGCAGTGCTGGGGAAGGGTTGCACTTGATGATCTCAAAGGTCCGTTCCAACCTCACTGATTCTATGATTTTATGAGAGGGGCCAGGATTTAGAGCATTAGCCAGGGCTGGAGACCAAGGCCTACAAAGGAAATTTTCAAGTATCATTGAAAAGCACATCTATGTTTGCATTCTTAAGGAAGCCACATTCATTTCATCAGGGAAGATGAGCACCTGAAATAGGATGAGATCCTGCTGGGGGTGCTGGGTTCACAGGAAGTGGGGACCCTGTTGGACAGCCTGGGCTGGCTGCTGCCAGTCCTAAGTGTTGGGATAACTCACCTGTTCATGCCTGAAGAGAGCTGGCCCCTGCCAGGTGCTGAGGGACTGCATGAGGCAGGATCTCATCTGCCTGTGCCCGTGTGTGCTGGGCATGTAAGGGTGGTGTGCTGGGTGATGTAGGGGAGAGGAAGGCAGAGACAGTGGGCTGTCCTCAGGCAGCATTGTCTCACCATGCCAACTACTGCCACCCTTTAGAGACATCCCCTCACTTATGTAGTTTAGCCAGAGATGTCTTTGTCACGTCCAAGAGGAAGCAGACTTGAGGATTTCCCACAGAAGGAACGAGGACTCGGAGGCCCAGGCTTGGATGCAGCACAACTTTAATGAGGGTAAAGAAGAAAAGGAGGTGGCTCCCAGGGAGCACCAGGGGCAGCCACCAAGAGGCGGTGCAGCTCCTGCAGGGTGTCCGTCTGCCTGTCCCTCACTGGGAGGGAGGGAGGGAGGGAGGCCAAGGGGTCCCCACGGGGCTGGTGTGGGAGGTGGAGACAGGAAAGGAATGGAGAGGACAGTGGGAGAAGGAAACAGCGCCGCGAAGCTCTATCTCCTCTCCAGATCCATGGTGTGAGGTCGGGGATGTTCCTGCCTGAGGACGCAGCCAGCAGCTTTAGCAGGGTCTGCACCTGGTGCCGCAGTAGCGGTTGGTGATGCAGGAGAGGTCGAAGCCCCCGGAGTTGATGGGCACTCCCTCACAGCTGAGGATGCTGCCAACGGCGGCGGAGGTGGAGGAGCCCACAACGGTGTTCTGAGGGAAGGAGCTGAGGATGGGGCCGGGCAGGGTCACCACCACGGGGGAAGGCTCAATGACGACGGTGGAGCTCTGGCACTGCCTGACACAGCACTCATTGCAGCTGTTGGCCAGCGGGGTCGGGCCGCAGGGCTGGCAGGGCACGCACGGGTTGCAGC